ACACACACACACACACACACACACACACACACACACACACACACACACACACTAAAATCCTTCAGAAGGAAGGAAGGACAGAAGCCCTTAAATGTTCTGAAGGGCTTACCTGACACTGCTATGGAAGGGCGGCTGGGTTCCCCAAAGCCCGCCTTGTTCACGGCCACCACCCGAAACTCGTAGGTTACTCCTTGCCGCAACTTGTCCAGGCTCACCGTGTATGACGTAGCGCTCCGGGGAATGTCCTTTGCAAACATGTCCCATAAGCCTTCATCTGCAAGAGGGTTCAGAGATGGCACAGGGGTCAGGGCAACTCTTCTCCAGATGAGCCCAGGCATGCCAGGCATCTGATGCCAGCCTCAGAGGCTAGAGAGGACCAGGGGTGGAGGGGCGTGTCTCCTGTATCAGCAAATTTCCCAGAGTGGCAAGCTGGCCATAAGAACATCTTTATTTGTCTTTAGTTATCTCTTTTGGTGGGGGTATGGACTTGCCACAGTGCACTTGTGGAGATCAGAGGACAGCTAGCTCACAGGCCTCAGTCTCCTTCATGGTGTGAGTTCTGATGCTGAAGTCAGGTCACCAGGCTTGACCAAACCATCTCACCATCCTGGAGTGGTGTTTTCTATCCCTTCCCTTCTCCTTATCATAGTCTCATGGGGTCTAGGTCGTTCCTGGCTTCCCACTTGGTGTCACCTTAGGGACACTGACTCCCTTCTGGCTTGCTGCTTTTCCTCACCTTTTCCCTTCCCTGCTTTCTCTGCATGCCCCGTTGCTGACCCTTTGGTCCTATTCTTGACCTACAGACATCTGGGAGCTAGTGGGTCACCACTGGCTTGCACTTGCTATGGGTTCCTACCCAGTTCTGCCTGGAAACGGAGCCCAGTCCTCGGGTTAAGAGGACGGTTTAAGGCCAAGCTTCCTTCTCCGCTGTTGCCATCACTGTGTGGTGTATGGTGTTTTCTATGCGGACGGAATGGACACGTGTGCTCCTGGAATGGCTGTAACCCTGGGGTCCATCTACCCTGGGGTTCATCTCCTTCAGAGTGAAGGGTTGGATCTTTCGGAAAACACAGGCCTGGTTCGTGGTTGGGGATAGAACCGTCAGAGCTCCACGCTCTCTGCTGGGAATTGGCCCCGGCTTCTGCCTTGAAGGCCACTTCCCAAATGAGAATATCTTGTCGATGTCAGGTGTCTTGAGCACCCCCAGAGCCAAGCCTGCCCTAAATGCAGAGTGAGTGTTTTGCACCCCACAACTGCTAGGGATGGAACCCAGCGGCCCTTCCTGGCTGAGCCACTCTGCCCTGCTGAAGGCTTCTAGGCAGTGCTCTGCCACTAAGCTATGCCCCAGCCTGACATTTTCAGTCATCATGCTATCAGCATGCATTAAAAAAAAAAAAAAAAAAAAGCGTTTTGAATTCTGGACAGATGCTTGCAAATCCGTGTTCTCGGCAATGCTGTCCACAATGCCAACAGGCATAAACTACCCAAGTGACGCGTGGACAGACAAACGTGCGCACAGTGGAGAGTGAGTCCACTTTCAAACTGGAGGGATGCCGATGCTACCCAGGGATGCTGAGGACAAGGCGCCCACTGAGGTCATCCACCCGCAAAGACCCCACACTGCACAGTTTTGTTTAGAGAGACCCCCGGGGTTGCTCGAGTGCTGGAGACAGAACGTCAGATGGGGGGAGGGGTTCAGGGATGGGAACTCAGTGGTGACAGAGTCTGGATTTCCAAGATGGAAGGCAGATGGGGTAAGGGGCGTCCCCAGCACCAAGAAGTTACTCAGTGGTACGTTTAGATAAGGCTGAGTCTGGTGCGGGGCTAAAGTGCTTACGGCGCCAGTGTGGGGCCTGGGTTCAATTTCCAGCACCTATCAAGAAGCTGTGATCTCTGGGGCTTGATGGCCAGCCAGCCTGACCTGATGGATGAGCTACAGGCTAGAGAGACCCAGCCAGCCTGACCTGATGGATGAGCTCCAGGCGAGAGAGACCCTGTGGAGAGTGACTGAGAAACAACACCCAAGGGTGACTTCTGGCCTATACACACACACACACACACACACACACACACACACACACACACACACACACATATCAAGGTGGTGACTTTTGTCTTAAGCAAAGTTTTCCATAGTAGGTAATGACCTAATTTATATAAATTCTGATACCTAGGAAAATGTGAATAAGATCCAGGCCAGAAAACGTTACATAGAAAAGAAGAAACAGGAGAATGGCTTCGGTTCCTAAGCATCAACCAACAGAGCTAAGGAAAGACAGCCAGTGAAACTGGTCATGATGGCACATGCTTGTCATCCCAGCACTCGGGTAGAGGAGGTAGAAGGATCAGACATTCAAGTCACCCTTGGCTTTATAGAAAGTTCTAGCGTGGCCTGGGCTACACGAGGTCATGTCTCAACAATAACAACAAACCAAAAACGCACAGTGGCTGAACAAACTGTCTATAACTATGCAGCCTTAGTGCAAAGCTTGGTCCTGTCCCTGGCTGTGTGGCCTTAGGCAGAGCACTCGGCTTCTCTCTGCCTTGTCTGTCAAATGGCGATACCAAAGGTACGTACAGTGCTGAGAATTCTGCCTTGAGAATTCAAATATGTTTTTATTTATAAAGTGCCCAGCACACTGCTTCACACGCAGTCAGTGCAACCTGAGTGATTGCAAATAAAATATAAATTATTCCCCGAGGAGGCTGTTGCTAAAAGGTGGGGGCAGAGCCTAAATTGCTCCTATGATGTAGAAATCCTTCCCAAGTTCAATTTCCTCTTACAGGAAAAAGTCTGCGGGACTTGAAAAAGCAGGCGATCTGGGGAGGGAAAAGCCCACTGAATATACATGTGCACGAACTTGCTGTTTTTATGGCCCCAGGGTGATGGGAAGCGAAGCCTCCCCGACCGCCTTCTCGGAAGATGCGCTTGGATGGATTAGCCTAATGGTAAACAGGAGGATATTGCGAGTGTGTGAGTTCGTGCTTGCTCAGGGTTTAGACTTTGCCCTGGCAAAGCCCTGATAGTCACAGGTTAATGAACGAGGCGACGCTGATGGCTTTAATGGCATCAGCAGACACTGGAGCCTCATGATTCACATATTGTTGGCTGTTGCTCATCAAGAGAGCCGTCAGGGGTGGCACACCGCAGCACAGATGGCCCCTCCTCTCTAAAATAACAAGGCTTCTATGCACAGAATGGGTGTCAGTGTGGCTCATACATATACTTCAAGATTTATGATGATGTATAGGTATGCATAAGTGTTTGTGAGGCTATATGTCCTGTATATGCATCCAGAAGAGGGTGTTACATTCCCTGGAGCTGGAGTTGTAGCCAGTTGTGAGCCTGAAAGAGATTCTGGAAACCAAACTCAGGTCCTCCGGAAGAGCAGCAAGTGACTTTAAGTACCGAGCCACCTCTCCAGCCCTGGTTTATGTCTCTGACATGAACTTTGCTTAAGAATAGTGTGGAGAGATAGTGCATTTCAACAGGTGGCCTGCAGAGCCCCGGAGCCCCTCTGATGCCCCCTCGTTCACCTACAAATATTCACGGCACACTCTGTGATGGGACAGCCTTCTGTCCCTCGGCAGGTCAGGAGAGCCTCCGTTCTCACAGGCTTTGTACAGTCTATGAGCAGGATGGAGAGAGAAAGCAGGAACATGTCCCCCTGCCCCTCCCCAACTCCAACCCACACTTCAGGAAGGGACGGCTGCTCCAGCCATGGCTTACAGAGCATGCTCTCAGTTCATTTCATTGTTCATACCCTAGGGCCCTGAAATCTTTACATAATAAAGATCTTATTATCTGTCCTTGCATCTACCCATCAACCTACCCAAGGATATTCATATATCCCTCAATCTACCCACCCATCCACTCATCACCCACCCATTCGCTCAATTGCCTACCCATCCATCTCCTATCCACACACCCATCTATCCACTTACCCACTGACTCACCCGCCCACTCATCTCTGCCCACCAAACTAATCACCCACCAACCAAACACTCACCCACTCACCTACCTAGCCATCTATTCACCCCTCCAGGCAGCCATCTTTGCAACCCATGGCCTCTCTCCTGCCCCAACTCCGTCAGACTCTCAGTAAACAATGGCCACCCCTATTTCACCCCGTGCTTAGCTCCAAGGCTCTAAATATTGAATGTATCGTGCCAAGTTCTCCACTAAAAAGATAATGTTATGCTCTAAGAGTCTAAGGACAGAAACACAGACTTGCAAACTGGGTGTTGTTCAAACCCAGTAGAGTGAAATTGAGAGCACTCGAGCCTAGAGCATTTCCCTGGCATCTGAGCTCTGGACACCTTCGCGGCAAGCTCTCTCGCTGTCCTCCGCATTCATGTTTCCTTAATGCTCTCCTGGTACTGGGGACAAACACAATTCCCCTGCTTCTGTCGTCACCCAAAGACTACATTTTACTTTAAGAGCTCTGTCATAGCTCCAGGAACTTTGTGCATTTTTTATAAAAACATTTTAAAATATTGATATAGGATCTCAACACTGAGCGATTTATTCAGCAATCTACTTACACTCAAAAAACGGGAGAGGGTGGTGCCATGCCAAGATGATTTCCTTCTGAACTAACAGAAGAAAATATTTGCATTTTTATTTTGCTTAATTCTGCCTTCTAAAATTAGCATATTATGCTTGGATTATAATTCATTGGGCTATTTATCTATAACAATATTTACACGGTGATCACCAGTGGGTTAAAAAAAAAAAACTTGGCAGCTGCGAGAGCGGCTACTGTTCCCCAACTGTGGGTTGTTTTTCTCATTTTTATTATGCTGCTAAATATCTCAATAAATCAGTGATGGAGAAAATACCTCCACAAATTTGTGAGAAAAATAACATTACAGAACTATTAACAATAATGAGATTTGTGCGACTGATTTTCCTTGTACCAGGAAGATCCCCAGTGCCTGGACTTCCGTCTCCGTCAGAGCAGGAGAGGACAGCACAACTGTGCTTCCCACAAGAAAACCCTGGACATTTAGTGCAGGGGACCCGCTTGTCATCACTGTGAGAGACCCGAGACACGGCCAGAGGAGAGCGGTTGTCACGCACAGCCAGGTCTCTACTGGCTGATCCTGGGATGTGGATCCCAGAGGATGAGTTCCTGGTGACGGGTCTCTGGGGTGACATCTCCCTGGGTGATTAACACAAGGCTGACTGATCTCCTGCCTGGTCCCCCAGATGCCTGGTCCTCCGAAGCACTACAAGAGAACAACCAGGGGGCTTCTGGTTCCCGGCGACTG